CTTTAAGCCTCAGATTCTTTTCCAGAAGGTTGTGGATTACAATATCTTCCATGTGAGTGTTTCGACAGTATGAGAGGAGGAGATCCGTAAAGCCTCTAATCTTTGCCTAAAACGTAGTAGCTTCTCTATTGATTAATAGTAATTATGTGTGTTAACATGAAGAATCTTTCATGTTATGAATCTTCATATTATTATGAAGAACTGATATTGGATACATTGAATTTCATTTAGTTTTATACTCCCAGATCATAGTTTCCAATGTTTTAAATCAAATGAAATAGAGTATGTGAGACAAGAATCTCTGAGTTCTAGATGGCAAAAAGGTATTTTATGACATTATATATACTGATGTGAATATTGAGATCACTTGACTTCTTGATTGGAAAGGTTCTTATTACTGCCCTTCAAATGCACATGTGGACATAAATGTGAAAGACAGTAAAAGACCCAGGCCTAACATTTGCCTGTATTGTCCTCTCCTTCATCCTTCTTCCTTCATCCATTTGCTTCATCCTTTCTTGCCATTATTTTCATGGTTCTGTCACCCTCTAAGTACTCCATGTTCCTATTTTTGCTTATATCCAGCCCACATCATCATTCAGAAAGAAAGCTTTGTAGGACTCACTTTTCTGCTTTACTAAATTTAATCTCCCATGGTTTTCTTAAAGAGTTGTGCTAACTCTTCTTTCTGTGCTGATTTTTCTTCATTTGCCTCCCTAGATGCATTCTTCCTCTCTCTATATCCTGCTCAATGGCCTGGGAGATGTCAAGAACAGAATCACCTGGGTTTCCTTGCCCTCTGGCTTTCAAATAGGTTTAGTCAATGAGAGGCACTGGGAGGATGTTGAAGGCTGGGAGAAGAGGCAGATTGGTCTACTAGATTCCTCCTGCCACCAGCTCCCTCCCTGCCTGGCAGTGACTGCCATTCTGGCCACAACTTCTGTTGGACAGACCCCCACCCACAGCTCCATCTCTCATGAAGCTTCATTAACACGACTACTTCCTCTTACCATTTTATGTGTGGGGGAGGTAGGGGCTTCCTGATATCAGGGATCTTGAGTGCCTCAAATGTTCTTGTTGGTCTCTGAACTCTGCCCCAACATCTATAGAAAGTCCTTTCATGAAATCCTCTTCGTTTAAATCTTTACTGCTGGGATCCACTTCATTCAGTTTCAGTCTATCCTCAGTGCCAGGAAAAAGATGTTTCCTTGCTAGGATTTGGCACCAAGGGCTCACATGGGTGTGGGAATGAGGTTACTTCTTAAGTGATGAAATTGAGGATTACGGTGGGTAGATTACTTGCCCAAGATCACATGGCTGATCAATTCACAGTCAATTTACTCAAATATTTATTGAAACACAGAATTAGTCAGGCAGTGGAGATAAAGATAAAACATAGCCCCAATTTTAATAATTTGCATTTCTGTATAGGAAAGAGATGTATAGCCCATAATTAAAATGTAGCAAGAGTAAATGCCCAGTGGTAAGAGAACTGGAGTAGGAAAACTCAATTTATTCTAGGCCTCACAGATGAAACCAAAAGATGAGGTGGAGGAAAAGATGGTTATCTGAGTAGAGCGTAAAGTGTGCCTTGAATTGGCCTTCCCTCACCATTTTTCTTGCTGCAGCCCTGGTGATGAGAGCCTCGTGCAAGCCGCATCTGTCTTCTCCCGATTGCTGCACAGGCCTTCTGTAAAGGAGCATGGGATCCATGCTTTCCATCTCCTAATCTATTCTCTACATCCTGGTCAGAATCATCTTTTCAAATGCAAATCTGAGGCAATTCTCTGCTTAAAAGTATTCAATAACTCCCAATTTTTCTTAGGATAAAGAAAAACTATGACCAATAAGTGCTTACGTGGACTGGTTTCTGCCCCTATCACCAACTTTATCTCTGGCTACCCACCCCTTTTCTCTTTTTGTTTTGACCTATACAACTTTCTTTTAGTTCCTTGAAAATGTTATTCTCCTCCCATCAAAGACTTTTGCACATTCTGTTTCCTGTCTTTAAAGGCTTCTCTGAACCTCCTGCCATTTGTCTGGTAATTTCTATCCAAATTTTAAGCATTAGCTCAAAAATCACTTCCTTGAGGAAGCTACCTCTGAAAATCCCCAGACCAGGTGAGGCCCCCACTATATGCTTCTGTAACACTGGACAGTTATCTCAATTTGAATGAAATTAAATGTATTCATTTCTATATTTTTCTCTCCTCAAGAACCGGTATGACTTTCACTTCACCACGCTATCCCTGGTTTTGGGTCCAGGGCTGTACTAACGGAAAGAACTCTATAAATAATTTTTGATTGAATATGTGAATGATTCTAAAAAAGACATGGACTCTGAGAAAGCATTGTGCCTTAGGAGAATGTACATGTAATTTGGAGTGATGAGAAATGAGGCTGGAGAGGACTACAAAAGCCAAATCCTGAAAGGTCTTAAATGCATAATAAATTTGGACTTATTCTTAAGTGTGATGAGCAGCCATTAATTTTTTTCTTTTTAAGCTTGGACCTTTTCAGGTTTGTTGACTGGCTGAAGAATGAATTGGTGCAGAACAAAGCTGGAGTCAAGCAGACAAATTAAGAAGCAAATGCAATTATCTGGCAGAGGAAAATTAAAAGCATACATAGTATTTCTCAAATTTGCTGCATATCATAATCACCTGGGCAACTAACAAAACCACAGAGGCCCAGGCTCCTTGAAGTAGGATAGAGCACGGGCCTTTGTATTTTTACCAATACCGATTAGCCCCAGGGATTCTGATACCCATGCATTTGAGAACTACTGAAGTAAATTTAAGGCAATGACATGTCGTCTTGATAAGGTTGAGTGATTAGAGGCGGGAGATGGACACAAGAGAGGAGTCCATATTAACTTTCAAGTTATTGGTTACAGTGACCGGTTCTGCCATTGGCTAAGGTAGGGAGAGATAATTAGCTCTGTGTCTTTATTACCGGGATGAAAGTCAACTGTACTCTCCTCATTTTATTGGTGTCTGCCCTCTGCAAAGTCTATCCCAGTTGGTCTGTGAAAAGTTGGGGTCATGATAGAAGAGATTATAATAGAACTCGACTTTCCAATTCCCAGTCTATCATAAGGTCTCAAAAATCACAACGGGTAAATTACATGCATCTTAGAAGATATATACTTTTCCTCTAAGTTGTTGCTCTTCTGTCAACTTGATTTATCCATGAAAGAAAGCATGCAAAACTCACTGTAGTGTTTTCGATTTTGCTAGTGTGTTTGCCAATTTGTTGCCAAATCTTTTGTGATTCATAGAAGTTTAGTATTAGCACCCAAACTCTGGATAATATTAAATCCTGTGAAAAATTCTGAGAAAGTGTTTGTTCATCATCTGAATTTAAAGAGGTACCACCTACACACTAGCATGGTGCTAATACAGTATTTGTTGATCTTTATTGGTATGACCAAAATAAAAAAAAACTGTGGCAGATTTAATATTAGTTTGACATCTTTTTAATGCCTGGAGAATGGTAGCAGTTCCTGGAATATGTACTTTAATATTAAATATAAGATTGGGCCATATCCAGGAGTGGGAATCGGGAAAGATCCAAAAGATACAATAGTCTGTTTTGTTAATATTCCTGTATTTAATTTTAAACACAGGGTAATTTACCTTAAATATATTTTTAAGTAAAATATTAAAATGTCCCTTCATTTGTCAAAATGAGAGACAACCTGGAGTAGTAGAAAAGACTTGGGTTCTCATCCAGACACGGATAACCAACTCTGGGACATTGGGCTAATCAGTTAACCTTCTTTGAGTGTCAGTTTCCTCAGCTCTAAAATGATGGGAATAGCTAGTCTCTAAAAACCCCTTCTGGGTCTACAATTCTGAGATTCTAGGTTCTACCAACTGAGCATCTGTATAGTTGTGGTTTCTTTTTTAAAGATTGGCACCTGAGCTAACAACTGTTGCCAATCTTTTTTTTTTTTTTCTGCTTTTTCTCCCCAAATGCCCCCAGTACATAGTTGTATATTTTAGTTATGGGTCCTTCTAGTTGTGGCATGTGGAATGCCACCTCACCATGGCCTGATGAGCAGTGCCATGTCTGTGCCCAGAATCCGAACCGGCGAAACCCTGGGCCCCTGAAGTGGAGCGCGCGAACTTAATCACTCGGCTACGGGGCCGGCCCCTATATAGTTTTTAGTAGAAATGTGACTTAATCTGGAAACATCTGTTACAGTCTATGACATATTTTGGCAAGTCAAGTCCTTGTCCTTAATGTTACGATGGACATCAGATATTCCTTCAGATTCTACCCTGTATTGTACTGAAGGAGCATCCATCATGCTTGTGTCTTGAGCAGTGTCAAAGTGACCCAAAAAATATGCCAGATTTGTTAATATTATCATTAAATGACTTATTTATTTATTTATTTATTTTGAGGAAGATTAACCCTGAACTAACATCTCTTTTTGTTGAGGAAGATTGGTCCTGAGCCAACATCTGTGCCCATCTTCCCTATTTTATGTGTGGGACGCCTGCCACAGCATGGCTTAATGAGCAGTGCTAGGTCTGTGCCCGGGATCTGAACTGCTGAAGCGGAGTGTGTGATCTCAATCGCTACACCAGTGGGCCAGCTCCTCAATGACTTCTTAATTAAGGTTGTCAGTACCACCAGTGAGACAGTTGAACACTATGTTAGCATTAAAAATTACATACACTTCTCACTTCCATTTTTATTTTTGTACTTAATGAAAAATAAAGGTATGTTTATTAAAAGCATCATAGTTTTTCCAAATAAACATGGAATCAAAAATAATTCTGTGCCAGACATATTAATTGAATAAATATACTGCTGTTTTATTTCTTCTAATATATAAATATTCTCTTACTAATAATTGTAATCAATTCTATTATTAATCTAGAAACTTGCTTCTTTCCATCGGAAATTTTATTTTTATGATTTCCTAGCTATAAGAAGAAGAATTTAGCCTTTAGGCTGGAACTGCCATCTTCCAGTAATTCGCCAAAATGACCAACACAAAGAGAAAGAGGAGAGACACCCATTATGTGTTCTCTAGGCCTTTTAGAAAACATGGAGTTGTTCCTTTGGCCATATACATGCGAATCTACAGGAAAGGTGATATCGTAGACATCAAGGGAACGGGCAGTGTTCAAAAAGGAATGCCCCACAAATGTTACCATGGCAAAACTGGAAGAGCCTACAAGGTTACCCAGCATGTTGTTGGCACTGTTGTAAACAAACAAGTTCAGGACAAGATTCCTGCCAAGAGAATTAATATACGTATTGAGCATATTTACATATTGAGCATATTTACATATTGAGCATATTAAGTGCTTTTAGAGCCAAGATAGCTTCCTGAAGCATGTGAAGGAAAATGATCAGAAAAAGAAGGAAGTCAAAGAGAAAGGTACTTGGGTTCAACTGAAGTGCCAGCTTGCTCCTCTCAGAGAAGCACAATTTGTGAGAACCAATGGAAAGGAGCCTGAGCTGCTGGAACCCCTGTCCCAATGAATTCATGGCATGTTAGGTGAAAGAAGATAAAAGCCCTATGGATGGTAAAAAAAAAAAAAAAAAGAAGAAGAATTTAGTTTGGGCCATAAAATTCCCCCAATTTTCACTTACTTGACACCAAGGAGATAGAAATAGATTTTTTTCAATCTTTGCCTTCACTACTTGGTAAAAATATAGCTCATTAAAAGAAAAAGTGCATCCTTCTAGGGTTAATTATTAAGCCAAGGCAAAATTTGATTCCAAGGGGAAGAAACAATAATAAACAGAGAAGCAACAAATAACCCGTTAGATTCAGTGCACTTGGTGCTCTGCCGCTCTGTGTCTATTTTCCGGTCGGCAGAGGATGGTAAGGAGGGGATGGAATAGTCATCACCTTGTGAAATGTACTGAAAATCACTTGAGACAGCAACAGTACAGCCCTTGATCACAGTTATAGTTACTAAGAAATATCTACTATTTCATGATTAATTTAATATGCAGAATGAAGTTACAAAGACGAGAGTTTCCTGGGCTCGTGCGATTTTATGATTGCATCTTAGGAAAATATTCATTTTGTTTTACCTCATGCTCTTTCCTTCACAGTGAGTCAGACAAATGTCAATAAGCATATTGGGTTTCCTCATACTGTCCCCCTTCCTTCTGTTTCTGATAGTGTATTGTTGGTCGTGATTGGTCATATGTTTTCAGCATCTGGAGATCAAGTGCTGATTTTCTCTCCCAATATAATTTAGTCTTTTCAAATGAGCTTTCTATTACAGCCTTTTTGTTTAGCTTTGTCCCTATTTCTTCTTAGAAGCTACTTACTCCATAAAGAAACTGGAAGTGTCACCAAACATGTATCCTTACAAGAAATAAATACTTTAAACATCTTGCAGAAGACATTCTAGAAAGCATACAGAGGTATGAGTTACCTTTCTCTGATTTTTTCACTGTCTTCTCTGCTTCCTTTATCCCAGGCTAAACTCCCCGGCCTCAGCCTGTCTGCACTGGGTGCCTTGCTCAGCCGCTCGGGGCCTTCTGTCCCTCCAGAGCTGTGACTGCGCTGCTGGTCCTTAGAGAGTCCAGGTATCTCATGCAGAGGGGTGGAGACAGGTGACAGAGGGAAGGGGAACAAAGGTGTCCATTTGCATTGTACTTTTCAAAAGTGAAAAACGTCCTTCTGAAGAGGGCCTCTTCTGTGCTCACTATACCGCTTTGTGGTCTGGCTGGAGCAGGAACTACCGTCTCCATCGTAAGGACACTGGGCCTCATAAGGACTGAATGACCTGCTCGAGGTCAGCAGTTTGGAAGACTTCCCAGTCAGTTGTAGTCTGTATCTTCTGAATACAGCTCCAGGATTCTTTCCACTCGTTCATTCCAGCATCTCTATTCTAGGACTATTATCAGTAGTGCCTGAACTGGTCTTTGGGAAGTCTCGTCATTCACTCAAGTACTTCATGAGGTGCTTTGATTATGAAAAAAGAGGAAATCTTAAAGCTTTGCTGTGATGACAACTAAGAATGTTAACAGCCTATTAAAATAAGATGTAAGGATTTAGGAAGATATGTATACCCTGACTGTATCTTCTCAAAAGCAGAGTGATTAATACTGCCAGAAGCCTCCCTCGTAGCAGACATGAGAAAAATAGTAGCAGTAGCAGTTCGTTCTGTTTCTGGCATAGGTAAGTTTTCTTCCATAAATGCGGGAGAAAAGGATGAGATTGTTATAGGCTCAATACTCACTCATTTTCTTCCAATACAAACAGCATAGTGCCAGTTGTGGAGGACAAGACACTAAAATGCCTTTTGAGAAGCAGGATGGAAGAGGCGTGATTTTGGATTTGGGATCAAGGACTGAATGACTTTGGATTCAGGCTGACTTGAGCTCTTTGAAGGTTGTGGCTAAAATGAAATGAAATAAGATACAAAAGTTGTTAGTGCCTTAAACATGTGTTGAAAACAATTTAATAAATTATTTTTATGGTATCTAATGAATGAGATCAAAGCATTCAGAAGATACCCCTGGATTTCAAGGAAATAAAAGTTTGATAGTTGACGATAGCAACTATCTCAACAGTATCTTTTTGACTACCATGTCTCCTCAGGCAAAGGAAACAAAAGAAAAAATAATCAAATGGGACTACATCAGGCTAAAAAAGCTTCTGCATGGCAAAGGAAACCATCAACAAAACAAAAAGACAACATAACAACTGGGAGATAATATTTTCAAATAATTTATCTGACAAGGGATTAATTTCCAAAATATGTAATGAACTCATACAACTCAACAACAACAAAAATGAACAACCCAATCAAAAGACCAGCAGAGGCCAAGAACAGACATTTCCAAAGAAGATATACAGAGGGCCAACCGGCACGTGAAAAGATGTTCCTCACTAATTATTAGAGAATGTAAATTAAAACTGCAAGGAGACATCATGTCACACCTGTCAGAATGGCTATTATTAAAAAGACAAGAGGGGGCCGGCCCGTAGCCGAGTGGTTAAGTTTGCACGCTCTGCTACAGCGGCCCAGGGTTTCTCTGGTTCGGATCCTGAGTGCGGACATGGCACCGCTCATCAGGCCACATTGAGGCGACGTCCCATGTACTACAACTAGAAGGATCCACAACTAAGATATACAACTATATACTGGGGGGAGCTGGGAAGAAAAAGCAGAAAAAAAACAAAGAAGATTGGCAACAGTTGTTAGCTCAGGTGCCAATCTTTAAAAAAATAAAATAACATAAAAAATAGAAAGACAAGAAATAAGTATTGGAGATGATGTGGAGAAGAGGGAACCCTTGTACTCTGCTGGGGGAAATGCAGACTGGTGCAGCCACTATGGAAAATAGTGTGGGGATGTCTCAAAAAATTAAAAATAGAAATACCATATTATCCAGCTATTCTGCTTCTGGGTATTTACCTAAAGAACATGAAAACACTAATTCAAAAAGATACATGCACCTCTATGTTCATTGCAGCATTATTCTCAATATCCAAGACTTGGAAGCAACCCAAGTGCTCATTAACAGATGAATGGATAAGGAAGATGTGGTATATACATATATATATATACCACATAGAATACTATTCAGCCATAAAAAAGACAAAATCGTGCCATTTGTGACAACATGGATGGACCTTGAGGATATTATGCTAAGTGAAATAAGTCAGAAAAAAACACTGTATGATTTCACTCATATGTGGAAGATAAGCAAATAAACACATAGATACAGAGAACAGATTGGTGGTTACCAGAGGGGCAGGGGGTGGGAGGAGGGTGAAAGGGGTAAATGGGCATGTATGTAGGGTGATGGATAAAAACTAGGCTGTTAGTGGTGAACATGATGCACTCTGTACAGAAGCTGAAATATAATAATGTACACCTGGGGGCTGGCCTGGTGGTGTAGTGGTTAAGTTCTCGCACTCTGCTTCAGCAGCCCAAGGTTTGCCGGTTTGGATCCTGGGTGCAGACCTACCACCACCTGTCAAGCCACACCATGGTGGCATCCCACATAAGACAGAGGAAGATTGGCACAGATGTTAGCTCAGGGCCAATTTTCCTCACACACACACAAAAGCATACCTGAAATTTATACAATGTTAGAAACCACTATGACCTCAAGAAAATAATATTTTAAAAAATGAAAAAGGTACTCAACCTAAAAAACATAATTTAGAATAGTCAAAATTAGTTATTTTGGCAAGAAATGAGCTGGCAGCATATTTTGGAAATTTTCCCTTTGTAAAAGTGGTCCTAGGCCCCAGATTACATTATCATTTAGGAAGTAAAAACAGACGTACGGAAAGTGAAGGCCTATTTCAGATCAATTGAATCTGAATCTCTAGGGGTGGACTCTGGGTATGTTTTTTAAGCTCCCAAGGTCATTCTAACATGTGGCGACAGTTGAGAAACACTAGTTTGTAACATCAATGGTCTTGGGTTACTTAATTACAAGAATCTTCTTTTGATGACTGTGACCTATGTGTGTCTATTTCAGGGTCAGTGACAATGGTGCATTGGTTTGCGCTCTCCTTTCATTCTCACAATGGCTCTATCCATAATCCCTCAGTTTTCAGAAGAGGATCTGAGGCTGACACACCAGCCTGCAGCGTCCCTTGCAATGACAAGTGAAGTGTAAGAAAAGTCAGTGAGAGCTGGTCCAGAGCTCAAGTCTTGCAGCTGGAGGGAGGAAACCCACGTGGAGGCTTCTTACTGCTTGATTACAAGCTGCTATGACTGCTTCTTGCTTTTTCCTTGTCTCCCTGGATCCTTTTCTTTCCCATTACCTACCTTATTTATTCTTCTGTGCTTCTCTGTTTCTTGTTCATCTCCCTTCACTTTTTCTTTCGCTTTCTCTTCTTGGAGAAAATATACTTGCTTGAGGACAAGAAAGTCAAGCTGACATGCATCCATTGTAATGTCAGCTAGTTCTACCAGAGCCTTTTTGATTTTTGGTTCCGTAACCATTTTGGAGTGGCTTAGGTATTTGAATGATTCCTAGCCACCCCAGATGACCCGAGTACAACTTAGCTTTTGTATTAATGTCAAGAGGGAGGAATTCTTACCAAATGTTAACTGGTTAAATTTTAATGGTTATCCAGTTTGTTGGTGTACAATTGTTCAAAGTACTCTCTTAATATCTGTTTTACTTCTGTAGAATCAGTAGAATTGTCCCCATTTTCATTTCTCATTTTAGTAATTTGTCTTCTTTTATTTCTTCTTAGTCCATCTAACTAAATATTTGTCAACTTTGTTGGTCTTTTCAAAGAGCCAACTTTTGATTTCAATAATTTTCTCTATTATTATTCTATTCTCTTTTTCATTTATCTCTGCTCTAACTTATTATTTCCATCCTCTGTTAGCTTGGGGTTTAGTTTGTTCTTTTTCTAGCTCCTTAAGTTGTAAAATAGGGCTGTTTATTTGAGATCTTTCTTGTTTTTTAATGTAAGCATTTACAGCTATGAATTTCCCCGTTAAGCACTGCTTTCACTGTGTACTATAAGTTTTGGTAAGTTGTATTTTCATTTTCATTAATCTCTATGTATTTTCTAATTTCACTTGTAATTTTTTTTACATTATTTTATTCAAGTCATATTGGTTTATAACGTTATGTAAAGGTTAGGTGTACATTATGACATTTCAGCTTCTGTAATTTCTTTTTTGATCCATTGGTTGTTTAAGAATATATTGTTTGATTTCCACAAAATTGTGAAATTTCCAGTTTTATTTGTTATTGATTTCTAACTTCTGTTACAGTAGGAAAAGACACTTTGTATGATATCTGTCTTTATATATCTTTTGAGACTTAATTTGTGGCCTAACATATGCTCTATCCTGGAAAATGTCCCATGTGCACTTGTGAATAATGTGTTATGGTATTATTATTATGCAGAGTTTTCTGCATATGTCTGTTGTATCTTGTTGGTTTATTGTATTGTTTGAGTCCTCTATCTCTTTAATTATCCTCTGTTTGGTTTTTCTATCCATTCTTGAGAATGGAGTATTGAAGTCTCCAACAAGTATTGTACAACTATCTATTTCTCCCTTCAAGTTTGTCAGTTTTGCTTCACGTATTTTGATAGTCTATTTTTAGGTGCGTAAGTGACTATAATTGTTGTTTCTTCTTGCTGTATTGAAACTTTTAAAATATATAATGTCCTCTTTTGTCTCTTGTGATCTTTTATGATTTAAAGTTTGTTTGTTTGATATTAATATAGACACCTCTCCTCTCTTTGGTTACTATTTGCATGGAATATCTTTTTCCCTTTCAATCTATTTGTTTCTTTGGATCTAAAGTGAGTTTTTTGTAGACTGCATATAGTTGAAACATGTGTTTTTATCTATTCTGCTAATCTCTGTCTTTGACTACAGAGTTCAATTCATTTACATTTAAAGTAATTACCAGTTAGGAGGGACTTCTGTCATTTTGCTGTTTGTTTTCTCTATACCGTATAGCTTTTTTGTCCTCATTTCCTGCGTTGCTGTTTTCTTTTATGTTTAGTTGATTTTTTTGTGGTGAAGTGTTTGAATTCCTTTCTCATTTTCTTTTGTTTATATTCTATAGGTATTTTCCCTGTGGTTACCATGAGGATTACATTTAGCATTCTAAAGTTATAACACATTATTTTGAATTTATATCAGAGTAACTTTAATAACATACAAAAACTCTGGTCCTTTACAGCTCCATCCCTACCCCTTTTGGTTGCTGATGTCA